GGGCTGTGCTGTGTGGCAGAGCTGTGTAAATCTCAGACCTGGATGGCCAGAGTTACAAATCCTTTGGCAGCTCCTTTATATTGCGTTGCCTGGAGTTCTCCAAATGTCATGGCAGCGCAACCCCCCACCATGTCCTGCTGTCAAAGCATGCTGGGGCTTGTAGTTCTGCGACATGTAAAGTGCCACAGGGAGCCTGAACCTGCGGAAGAGGGTGAGGGAGGCAAAGAAACACCGCCCGGGACAAACAACGTGGAAGACACCCAGCCCGTCGTCACCTGCTACTCCGTTCCGCCAGATCTGTCGTTGCACACTGGACTCTATCACTCTGATTACTCACACCTTCCCACTTCCGGCCGCTGTCACACCGAGGCGTGGAGCGCAGATTCAACAAGCTTTATTGCGCAGCGGACAGCGTTTTAGCGTACTGAGCCCACGTGGTCATAAAGTAGTTGAGGCTTATCTGTGGGGTTGTGGCAGTGTGTGACAGGCGGACTTTTGACGTGCAACACAATCTCTACACGATCTGTGATAACACACCCACACAGGATTTCGTGTAGTAGATGGTATCTGAGGCAGACTCTGCCCTTGTTACTGGCATGTGCTCACTAGGGTTGCCACCTTTTCTTCAAGCGAAACCCTCTAGCGACGCACAGAAATTGTTTGGGGAGCATAAGTCCAGGGCCGGCCTTTGCCCCCCCTGAAGTGGGGGGGGCGGACGAGGGAGCGCTGTCATATCGGATGGCCAGCAGTGAGGGGGAGAGAAGCCGCCCACAGGACGAGCTGTGACGGCCGCACAGCGCCCTTGTTGCCATGGCGCCCTGTGCGGCCGCACGGCTCGCACACCCCTAAGGCCGGCCCTGCATAAGTCGTAGCTTTTTCATATGTGAATATCACAGTTGAGACTGTTTTCAGTGGGGGGGGGCAGTAGCCCCTATCTTAATTTTGGTTGCCCCCGTCTGCCTGACATCTTGTGTCCGGGTTTCTGATGCCATGAAACCCGAATACAGCATTCAAAACCTGAACTGTCCGGGTGAATCCTGGACAGGTGGCAACCCTAGTGCTCACTCAAATCCTGTGGAAGGGCCATCCCAAGTTGGTAGCAGGCACCATATGGGCCAGTTTACAGTTCTTGAATATGATAAAGTATGTTATGGCAAATTATGCAAATGAATGGGCTGCCAGCGCACCTAAACACTGCGGGGAAAAAAGTGTGTGCGCCTTATGGTACATAGCTGTGTATCTGGTGACAGCCAGAAGAATCACCCCAGGGATATTCTTTAACCTCCTTGGCGGTATTCCCGAGTGTGGCTCGGGGTTAATTTTCATGACGAAAAGCGGTTACCCCGAGCCACACTCGGGATTACACAGCGCCGCACTTACCTTGTCCACGATCCCCGCTGTGTCCTCCAGGCCAATGCCAGCATCCATCTTCCAGGTTCCGTCCCTTGCGAGCGTACGTGTCGCAGGGGGGCGGAACCAGCGGCAAATTTAAACGTAAAGAAAAATAACCGAAATGCAAAAAAATAGTTGAAGTTGATATCACATGAGGTTTGTCTTCTGGGGACTCCCTCGGCTCTGTTTGTTCTGCAGGGGGAACAATGGGGTTTTGGACCAAGGAGATTACAGCTTGGAAGTTTGCTCAGGTCATTAGTGACCTACACAGAGTTTGGTCCTCATCTAACTGCTGAGAATGTTTTTGTTTCCCTAAAGTGACATTAAAGTCAAAAAAATGTTTCCCTCCCCCTAATGTTAATGAAAGCGCTTACCTTAAATGATGTCTCTTATCCGATCTTCTTCTTCTTTCCTGTTGTTTTCAGCCTTCTCTCCAGTACTGGTGCAGCTCTCCGATCCTGCGCTGACTCCTCTGTCCTTGCTGGCACTTCCTGTCCCGCGGTGTCTGCATGCGGGGAGTGCACGGCGTCCATAGACTTACCTTGTGTGTCTCCTCGTCCCCCGGCCGAAAATGTGAACTCAGCTGCGCATGCGCCCGCCCCGAGATGCTTTGTGGCCACCCGAGAATTTTCACATTTTCAGACGGTAGCGCGCGGGGAAGACACAGGTGAGTATTAACCTCTTTTAAAGGGTTTTTTTTGTACACTTTTTGCCTATATCTACTGCTTGCTCCCCTCATATATATGCAAAAATACCGGAGGGTTTAATAACCCTTTATAAAGGA